CAGGTATACACAAACACACACACACATACAGATATATATGTACATACATACATACATACATATATATATATATATATAATATATATATATATATATATATATATATATAATATATATATTATGTATGTATACATACACACACACACACACAACACACACACAACACACACACACACACACACACACACATATATATATATATATATATATATATATATATAATATATATATATAGGCATACACACACACACACACATCACGCACACACACCACACACACACACACACACACACACAACACATATATATATATACACATATATATACTATATATATGTGTATATATCATGTATACACACACACATATGTATACACACACACACACACACAACACACACACACACACACACACACACACACACACATATATATATATATATATATATATATATATATATATATATATATATATATATATATTATTATACAGGGTGTTCAAAAGTAGTCGGCACGGGCGAAAGTCGCCGTCTATCAGCCTTTCGGTCGACGGGAACTTTTAGCAGGACAATAAAGAAAAATCTATGACTTTTACGCACCATTTAAAAACCCTGTCTTCAGATGCACACACACACACACACACACACACACACACACATATATATAAGCATATATATATATATATATATATATATATTAATATATATATATATATATATGTTGTGTGTGTGTGTGTGTGTGTGTGTGTGTGTGTGTGTGTGTGTGTGTATATATGTGTGTGTGTGTGTGTGTGTGTGTGTGTGTGTGTGTGTGTGTGTGTGGGGTTTCCATGGGGGCAATCTTATTGGTCACCCCGTGTGCCCCCCAATGGTCATTGACCCTCTCTATATTGGTATATGATATTTATATGTTAATGTATAATATTAATATATGTTGATATATAATACACACACAGCAAGATTAAAATTTGAAAAAAATGTGCAACTAGAATTTATTGTTGTTACCCCCTTTGCCCCCTACCATAAAATTCTCTGGACCTGCCCCTGGTCCCTCTCCCCATCGCTTCCTCCTTAAGCTCCCCTGCTCCCTCCGCTCCTTTACTCCCGTCCCTCCCTCTCCCGTAGTTCTCTGAGCTCCCTCTTCTGTAATCCTTACCCGTCCTGTTTTCCTCTCAAAGTCCCCTCTGTTCCCAGTCATTTTCCTTTCCCTTCTTCTCTCTTTTCTGTGTATACCCTCTTTCCCCTCTTTTCTCCCTCCACCTTCCTTCTTAACCTCGTCCCTCGAATAATAAACGTAGATAAACTGACGGTCTTACCTTACCTCAAAGTGAGTTGACTTCAAGTCCGCAGTCACAAAAAATATAAATTCAGGCGGGCATTTCTCCATCACACGCAATCAATATATTACAATTCTGCAGGTTCATGCAAAATTATATTAGGTGTATAATTAATGGACGGACGAACGATCCACAAGCAACACTAAATGATTACATAGGTGTACAAATGTGTGGACACATAATGTCAATATCCAAAATTATTCAATCAATCAATTTATATACTGTATAGACGAGTAATTACTCTCCTGGAATGCTCTATTTCTTTTATGATCACTCGTGTCATACTAATCATATGTATCTCCAGATTAGAACCAACTGTGTTATAATCAGACAGCAACTTAGCATTATGTCAGCACACTACAGAAAAAGACCGGGCTTACGTTTTATCATTGGGAAACAGTTTATTAAAATCTTGGCATTTATTATTAAGCACGAAATATGAGTTTTCTGTGTAAACGTTTCATTGATGTTATCATTACTGCATCATTACCATCACAACTCCTATATTGCTAGTATCATCACTATCGTCATCATCATCATCATCATCTGTAAATTTTCAAATCAGTCTCAAGTCAGATCGACGGGGAAAAAAACTCTTATTGTGAATCCATTTATATGGTATTCATTGATAATAATAATAATAATAATAATAAAACAACATCGTGTACCATTTGTTCTCTGTCACCCTGTTCCCTTTGTATCCACTTGACAGGGAAAAAGATAACACTAGAGAAGTACCACCCACTGAGTTGCTTACGTAGTTAATGAGAAAAGGCAGATCTTCTGTATGTGTATATATACATGCATGCACATTCATGTATTTCTATGAACACACACACACACACACACACACACACACACACACACACACACACACACACACACACACATATATATATATATATATATATATATATATATATATATATATATATATATAATATATATATATATATAATATATATATATATTATATATGCACATTCATGTGTATATTACGAATATATATATATATATATATATATATATATATATATATATATATATATATATACTGAAGATAGTTGACAAAATTATGCACAATTTTGTGTACTGACGCCTGTTTATTCATCTATATAAACATACCAGTATATAAACATGCAAACAAGGTATTTTTGAATAGGCAACC